ATTTCTCATAATTAATTGAATAAATATTTTTTCTAGGCTGATGTCTTATAGTTTTGCAGTGAAGCTTTAAAATAAAACGTATTTCCTAGAGGTGACTAAAAGTACATTTGCCAGTTAGCAGTTGTATACTTAGGCCAATTTGTCACGGGATTTCATTTTAAAAGACCTGGTGCTTTTCATTATGCAAGATATCTTGCTAAATCAATCTATAATCTTGTACTTTGCCTTCTTAGTCCACAGCTTGATTCAAATCTTTTTTCTGCAAATGATATGTAATGTTTTACAGTTTTTACTGAGTTTGCTGAGTTTTTTTATACTTTTTGGTTTTTAAAAGCTCCTTTTGCATGTACGGCTCCAGATATGGAAGCAATCAGAGATATGGAAAATTATAAAATTAAAAGACCTTATATTGCCCAAGCATGCATTGACATGATGAAACGACATCATTGGTACCACGACCGCAGAACAATTATTTTCTCCATAGCTGACAAGGAACTAATGCCCGAAGTTAGAGAAAGAGTTGCTAAAAATTATAAAATTAAAAGACCTGATATTGCCCGAGCATGCATTGACATAATGAAATGACATCATTGGTACCACAACTTGAGAACAATTATTTTCTCTTAGCTAATAAGGAACTAATGCCCGAAGTTAGAGAAAGAGTTGCTAAAAAGCTGTTTAACTCTGACTTTAAACAGAATGTTAAAAAGCAAAATTTTTAAGAGCAATACATAAATCCAAATACTTCTAATCTGTCATCAGTTATAGAAGACATGAGTTGGTTGGTTTTTGAGAACTTTGGATTTACAAAGAATGATCTTAAATGGTGTCAAGTTAGTTGTAAGGAATGAAAGAAATACAGCACTTACAGAAGATTTAAGGACTAGGTTTATAAACTACATGTAGTAAATGATCCTGCCAAAAAAGTGCTAAAACTTATTCAAGACTACTAGAAAGTGTGCATAAATTAAGTGTTGAAGCAAGATATTCTTCTGTCAATAGCAGAGTATAAAACAAAACATTCAGTTAGTACCAAAATTTGATGAACTTTTGAAACAACATTTTACCAAACCATATTGTATAATATTCAAGTGATCATAGTGATAATATTCAAGTAATTGATTATGTTTTTGAGTCTATATTTGTGATTCAAATGTTTTTAATGTAAAAAAAACAATAATTGAAAGAAAATAAATTGTTAGATTTTCTAACTATATCTATAAATAAAACTATAATAAATTAATGGAAAAATAAAATGTGGTTGTGGTTTCCTGAAAGTTTTGTTTCATTGCAAAAAATGACTATTCAAATGCACAAACTAAGTTGGCACATAAGTAGCATAAAAATAAGGAGATTTCAAGAAAAGTCTAAAAACATCAACGCACTGGAGGAGGTAGTAAATAAAATTTTAATCAATATGATTTTTTCTATGTACTCATTAAAATGCACCAGAAATCAAATGACGATCTTCAATAATCAAAAATTTGGCAGAAATGGCAGAGGTTAATGTGTACCCTTAGAGAAAGGTTCAGCAGTTTGAAGCCCTTATTTTGCCTAAAACAGAATATTTCATTCTATAGTATCTTTTCCAAGTATTTAATTTCACTTTGTTTTTGCTTAAGACATGAATTAAAAAATGCTGCCGTAAAAAAGTAAAAATAAAACAAATTTATTAAGAAACCTCTTAAACTGTCCTTAAAAATAAAAATAAAATGTTGCTGCTATGTTCTAAATATTGGAGAGGGATTAAATCATAGGTTTTATATTTTTTTCCTAAAATAATTATCTACTTGAATACTGACGACCTAAATAATTTATGAAATGGTTTTTATGACAAAAATATGGAAAGTTCTCAATTTAGACTCAATATTGTGAAGCACTCTTTATAAAAAACTTTTAAACTATTATAAACTTTATGAATATTATATGAATTTGGGCCTAATTTACAAGAGGAGATGTGGTGATAACATAAACTCTGTTGATTTCAACTAATTTAGCTTTCAATTTCAGCCATTTACAGTTTACAGGTGTTTGTCAAGTCCATAAGTGTTGGTGCTTTAAACATTAGATATCTGTTTATTAACAATTTATTTAATTAAAATTATATTTTTCTGACATTTTAGTCCTAATACAATATAAAAACGCAGTTTTTGCGCTAAATACTAGTATTATTTATTTACAGTGTTCTTCTGAAAACAAGACAATTATTTAGACATCTGTGGTTTTTTCGTTGTAAACTCATCAGCTCATAAATTACGTTAGCTTGTCACCAACTTATATCTTCTCCAACCTCATCTATTTACCACAGATGATTCCATGATGCTGTGTTCCATCACTTTATATAAAGTTTGTATAAACCATACAAAAACTAATTGTGAACACAACGCTAATAAAAATGTTTTGTTTTTAATTTCTAAGAAAAATAAAATAAATTAAAAAAAAAACGATTAAATAAGATCAAATAATGTCTTAATTTGTCCATTCAGAAAATGTTAAGCTTTTAAAATTTTAACAAAAAAAAGGCAACAGAGCTATGTATGCTTGTTTCAGTTTATCAGGCACTTCGATCATTGATCTAAACATATGGGGTGTAACACACATACAATTGAATATTTCCATTTTTCCATGAATTAAACTTTAACTTTTAATATTTCAAAAACTTTAATATTTCAAAATTTCTAAGTGAACATGTCTTAAATTAACAAACAACCAAGAAGTTTGGCCTTGAAACTAAGTAAATTTCAGAAATTTTTTTTTTTTCATGTTTATATACAATATTGAATTGGTATTGGTTTTTTGTGAGATCGTCGAGCGTTTCTGCAAAAAACATTTGATTTGCAATGGCCAATGTTTCTGTCACACTTTTTAGAGGTGTAATGCATATACATAATAAGACAGAGTTCTAATTGGTAACGAAACAGTTATGCTCTCAAGTTTTTCACTTTTATAAACTAGATAATAAAATAAAATTAAAATTTTTCATTTTGTATTTTGCCTAGCACCTAAATTGCAAATCAATTTGATATTCTTTATACTTGAGACAATTGATAATTTAAAATCATGCAGCATAGAACATACAACATCATGCAGCATAGAACATACATATTGGTTCCAAACGTTTAGGCTTTTTTTTTTTTTTTGAAATCATAGCAAATTACACAATTAAAAAAATCAGAATCAGACTATTATTGAGTCCATTTTCTACTTTTTTAGGATATAAAAGGTACATCTTATGAATTAAAATAAGTTGAAATAATTCAAGAGAAAAATTTTGCATTATAAAAATAACTTATTTTATATATATATATATATATATATATATATATATATATATATATATATATATATATATATATATATATATATATATATATATATATATATATATATATATATACGTATGTATATATGTTTTTTTTGAATGTTTTTCTGTGGACGAAATGTTCTTTACTTCATCCGAACAGTGAGTCATGTGACTTACGCTTTTATTATCATTGGTTCAGTTATAAATAACTTAGACAACGGTTTTTTCAAAGTTGCTTAATGCTAATTAAATTTTTTTTTTTTTTTTTTTTTTTTACATTTTTCATAGGGTTGAGCCACCTTAAATATCTTGTTGCAAATCCAGTAAAAATATTGCCAACTCTTATCTAGACATTTATTAATTCAATTTAATCTAAAAATTCATTATTCTTTATTGTTAAAAAAACAAAATATAGAAAAAAAAAATTAAACTAATTACTAAACTTCTTACGATTTAAATCTAAATCATCATCATTTATGACGCAATCTCAGCGCAGTTAAGGAGAGATTACGTACGATTTGCATTTCTTAAAAACACAAGTTTATATTTTTAAACTTCAATTTTTTGTGTTTTCCACTTATTTTTGACTATTACTGTTATTTTTAAAAAGTAGAATTTAAGCTTATTTGCTTAATGCTAAGATGAGTTTAGTCAAAAATTACATAAATTAAGTTGAGTTTGAATGTCATAAAGTTAAAAATTCAAGCATAAGCAAAAATAAAGTTTCAATCAAAAAAAGTTATTGGTCTGATGCAAAAAAACTACAGAACAGAAAATCACAATAGGCAAATTGTTATTTATGCTAGGAAATTTATTTATTTTCTCTCGAAATTAGGCTTAAATTGTTGAATCCAATAAACAATTAAAATAATTTGTTTTAGAAATAAAAGCAGTAAAATGCAACGATTATTCTGTGAGAATGGAAAAATATGGAACTATGATGCTCCTAAATATATTTATCTCTGGAAATATATTTAAACACATAAGATTCAAAAAAAAAGCAAAAACTGATACAAAAACTTCTGATAACAATTTTTTTTTTTTAATTTTTTTCGAGTGTCTTATGATCTACATTTAGAGAGTTGAAACATGTGTTTCTTGAAACATGTGCTTCTTGAGCTAATAAAGGTTTGATCAACTTTAAAGAGTTATCTACATAAAAATTTAAAAAAACGATAATTTCATGAAAAACCTTGACAAACCTGATAAGATTCATACTAATGTTATAACTCATATGTTAAACTCAATTTTTTTAAACTTTTTTAGGCTTTAAAGTCAAGGAGTTTTAAGTGACTTAAACTAGTAATTTTTTTTTCAATTAAAAACCCTGTTAAAAAAAAGCAAATAATGACATAATAGCTTTTCTTAAAAAATAAAAAAAATATCTTTCTCTAGTTTTTTAACCCACTATATTTTTTTTTCACACCAATATTTGAAAATATTGGTAAAATTTTTTTCCTTATTCAACAAAAAACTCTGACTAAACAAGGCAATAAGTAAACTATTTCAATTCACTTATTTTTATAAAATCTTATTGATTTAAATTTAAATACATTTTTTATATTTACTTCTAAAAACATTTAAACAAAAATTTACAAATAACTGACGATTGACAAAAATTTTAAAAGCTAATGTCACATTAATTACAAAAAACTAACCAGAGAAAAAAATAAGTAATTAATTACACAAAACTAACCAGAGAAAATAATAAGTAATTTGTTATTCTTTATCATAAGCAAAGCATCAAGACTGTTTTCATAACTGTTACCAGGCTGAGATCCAGGAATATGTTGGAGTACAGGAAGAACAACCTGTTAAAACTTTAAGTTATAATAACACAAAAATAAAAGAGTTAAACTTAACTAAACTATGATTTTACAAATAAAAATAAATTCTGGAACAAACAAAGTTCTAAAATTTAATTTTATTTTTTTTATTTATTTTATTTTTGTTTCAGTTTTCTGAATTATAATTTTTATTTCCTTTGTTAACTTTATTCTTTAATAAAGTTGTTAAATTTAGGTCTATTAGCTCTTGATTAGTTCCTATTTCTATTAATCATGAATACAAACATTATAAAAAAATTGATTCTGCTTGTGTATGTGTGAAACAGGTCAAACACAATGAAACAGGTCAACAAGTCAACAGGTCAAACACAATGAAAACATCGCATTTATGCATGATTTTTTTAGCTTATGAAGTTATTCCTAGAGAAAAAAAAGAGGATGGAGAAAAAAGGAAGATTAGAAAAAGAAGAAAGGTAGAAAAAGAGTCTTTTTCAAAATGACATTTAGGAATAAGAAGGAGTCTGAAATTTCACTTTATAGAGAAGATTTTTCTTTTAAAATTTACTAAGTATAGAGAATAGAATTCTGTATTCAGATTAGAAAATCCAGTATATAGAATAGAAAACCTAACCACAGCTGAAATAATTTTTATCTTAACATGACTAAATAATAAATATTATATAAGAAATATCATTTTTCAAATTCCAAATAAAGAAAATTAAACTCTCAAAACAAAAAAATATTTGAGTTTTAAAAGTGTATAATAACCATTATGCAACAAATTTGACAAAAAACAATGCAACAAATAATTTAACAAAATTGACAAAAAATAGTCGATGTACTATTTCTCTAAAAACTTTATTCCATTAAATTTAAAAAACATAAAATGACATGAATCAAAACAAAATTGATTTTTAAAAAAGAAAAAAGGTATAAAAAGGCTTACAGCACTCATGATAAAACAACCAAAGAGTCCCTCCATTCCAACAACCTATCACATAAACTACATTATAAATTATAATAAATTAATTACTTCTAAAATAAATTATTTCCTAACTCATTCAATCCATAAAAATATTTAAACTTACATAAATCAACCCTCGGAATTAGGGTTGGCATTCGGCAATGCTGACCTAACTGTCGACCTGAAAGAGTTTGAGATCGGCAAAAAGTTGTCAACCTTAATTCTATGATTTATGGTCAGACCTTTGTATCAAATAACTTTTTTCGACCTGATGTCAACCTCAAAAAGATTAAAGTTGGCAATAATTTGCCAACTTCATTTTTCCTAATTTTGAGGGTTGCAAAAATAAATAAAAATTGATTCATCAATTTTAAAACAACTTACATGAAATGGTTCAAAACCTTTTCCTTTAAGAAATGTTTCTTCTAAAACCATTTGTGTTGCACCAACAATTTGGCTGATAATAATTAATGTAATCCCTAAAAAAATTGTCTCTACAAATTACAAGTAAAGGAAGGTTTAAATAAAAAAATATTTTTATTTTTTAACCAAAAAATCTTATACTTATTCAGGAAAATATTTTTCTTAACACTGAAATACTATAGCAGTTATACACATAGCTGGTTAGACCAAACCAAGAGCTTACAGTCATACACATAACAGTTATACACATAGCTGGTTAGACTACACCAAGAGCTTGCTGAAGTCCAATTATTAAAAAAAATATCAATAACTTGGAAGAAGTTTGATAACATGCAACAAAATTAGCACCTGAGCTAAAACATATGTTATACTGAAAAAATTGACAAACTTGAGACTCAAAACACAGCAAGATGCATAATAATTGATCCTATTGAGTTCCACAAAATAATAACTGGGATTGACAAGATATTGTGGTGCAAGAAGTTTTGTAAAGTTTCTTTCAAAAAGTTTAAGAGGTCATTCAATGAAATTTAAAAGAGATTTTTCAAAAACAACTCAGAGACAGAAAGACTTTTTCACAAACAGAATAATACCTCATTGGAATGCGTTACCAAAAAAATTGGTATCTACAAAGATAGTAAATTCTTTTAAAGCTAGGCTAGATAAACATTTGTTAACAGCTGTTAAAGAATAAACTTTAAGCTCTGAAACAATAGTTGAAACAAACAGTTAAAACAAACAGTTATTACAGCAGTTTGTATTATTACTATTACTTCTGGATTGTTACAAACTACTTTTTCTTATATCCTAAAATAGATTAAATCTAACCCAAGCCCCAACCCTATAGAAATAGTATATTAACAACAAGAAATATTTAATAGTTAAAAAACATTTACCTAATATTGTATGCCACTGAGACTCAGAATGACGAGGTTTTAGTATACTTGCTAATCCAACCAACAACAGACCTAGCTAAAACAATTTATTTAAAAAAAATGTAATCAAATATTTTTATTGTTTACTGTATTTTTTATTGTTTAACATAATAATGAAAAACTTTTTGTTTGCAAAACAACCAACATTTTTTGAACTTTCATTACTATTTACTTTCAATTTGTTAAAAGATTTTATTAAATAATTTCTTACAAGTTTTAGTTATGTCACAATCATATATAGATTTTCAAATTTTAAAATTAAATAGAAAAACTTTATACAGTATCGAACAAAACAAGTGCAACCAAATAATGCTTATTTAGTTTCTTTATATAAAAGTGCTGCTTTTTTTCAAATTAGGGAAATAACTACATAACTGTTTAGAGACAATGTTCTTCAAGTTTTATTCATCACAAAGTTCATTATTTGTACACGAAAATTAATAAATTAATCAAAAGTATTAAAAAAAGTTGGTTTCCTTCTGGACAAAACAAGTGCAACTCCACAAAATGTTGACCAAGCTGTATTTGGCCATCAATATTTCGTGGCGAATCCTTTGTTGTCGATCACAGCCTTACATCTTAGAGGCATATATTTGATCAGGTGATTAATGAAACTTTGTGAAATCGCTGCCCAAGCCTTTTTGGATTTGTTCAAACAGTTGATCCTTATTACGAACACCTTCACGATTAGTTCTGCGGTTGACGATCTCCCACAGGTTCTTGATAGGGTTGAGATCCGGAGATTGAGGCGGTCAATCCATCACCGATAGGTGGTTGTCTTGAAACTACTGCTTGACTACTTTTGCAGTGTGTTTCAGATCGTTGTTTTGCTGAAAAACCCATTTTAATGGCATATTCCATTCAGCATGAGGTAACATCTTTCAGGATATTTTTATACATGAAACGGTCCATTATTTCATCAATGTATTGTAATGTATTTCATTCAATGTATTGGACCTAGACCGTTGGCAGAAAAACACCCCCAGATCATTACATTGCCTCCACCATGCTTCATGGTCTTATGGCAGTAATGTAAATTGAGGCATTTTCCCGCCGGTCAAGGTACACGGCAAATTCATCCCTTACAATGATGTTGAACTGAACAGGACAGTTCGCCATTTCTGTACATTACAGTCAATATGAGATGTAGCAAACAGAAGTCTTTTCTTTTGGTTCTTTAGTGAAATCAGCGGTTTCTTTGTAGGGCGTCGAGAAAACAATCCGGCTTCAATAGCACATGGTCTGATTGTTTGGTCCGATACAGGCAGCTCTAATTGCTTTTGTATCTCAACTGATGATATCCAGGAATCCTTCTTGACAGATCTGACAATCATAGAATCCTCTCTAGAAGTGGTGGAACGCGGTCTCCACCTTTGTTATCTGCTGCCAACTTCCCCGTAGAACCATATTTGGAACATAGTCTTGATACGGTCCATTTTTTCACACGATATTTATCACAAATAATTTTTAGTGACATTCTACTTACGTAATTGCCAATAATTTTCTTGAAGTCATAAAAATAATAAAAATGAATAATCACGCTTCTCAAGGCTTACCGTGTTACATTTACCTTGTGATGATACAATAATGCTCTGTGGAATACAATGTCTTGGTTGGATGTGGACTGTATTGATGTAATGAAACACTTGTTATATTTCACTTCTTGTGTTGATGTTCTTCGATAAAACACTTTGATAAAACTCACTTCGATAAACTGTCTTGATAATACTGACTGATTGACTTCCATATACTGACTGAATTATATGTCGGTTTACATGTCCCTTATATAGTAAAATGAACCTATGTGAGCCTGTTTTGGAAGATTCTAGATGCTTCTTTTCGATGCTTCTGGAAGCTTCTGGATGTGTCTGGATGCTTTTAAATGTTTCTGGATACTTCTGGATGCTTCTGGATGCTTCCAGATGCTTCTTCTGGAAACTTCTGGAAGCTTCTGCATGCTTCTAGAAACTTCTGGATACTTCCTTTAATTATTAAAAAACTTCTGTGACATTGACACAGACCAGACTTTAGAAAATGAAACAAACCAAAAAAGTTGCACTTGTTTTGTCCGCTGCAAATAGGCACTTGTCAACAAAATTCTGCCTGTATGCTGTCACCTGTTAGCTGATTGCTCATGCAATGGCAATTATACTACCATGCTGTGGTAGCATAGTTCGTTTTGTTTTTAAGACATTTAAAATTAGGAACACTTTTTAGCATTGTTCGATGTTGGTTGCAAATGTTTTGTCCAATACTGTATATCTACAAAAAAAAAAAAAGACTAAAAATTTTGTGTTTTTTTTTTTTTTGTAACTTTTGATTTTTAGCACCTCATTTTTACAGTTTTTAAAACTAAAAAAAAAGCTCATTTTGCCCATTTAAACCAAAAAACAAAATAGAGGAAATATATCAATGACTCCGATAATCAAAAACACAAACTTTAACATAAATAAAAATAGTCATGCCTGAACATTTATGCAATACATTTTCTAATAATTTATACAATAAAAATTATGCAATTAAATTATGCAAAACATAGTTAGATAAAGTTGAATGCAAATTAAATTGCAGAAGTGTTTTCTGGAGCTGTACTCTATACTTTAGAAAATAATTAGCAAGTTCTTGTCAGTGTCTTCTTTTGCGGCCTGCTGGAAAGCAACATCTGTTATTCCTATTTTCAAAAATTCTGGAGAACATTCTGACTTGCCTAACTACCATCCCATTAGACTTCTTCCAATCATAAGTAAGGTTTTTGAGTCTTCAATTAAGAAACACATTTTCTCTCATCTTAAATCTAATAATTTACTTTCTAATCATCGATATGGATTTATATATATCCTGTAACTTCAGGGGTTCCTCAAGGTTCTATCTTTGGCCCTATACTTTTTTAAATTTACATTAACAATCTCTCAGAAATTCTCACATCTAAAGTGGCATTGTTTGCTGATAACTATTTATTCTTGTCTTGATAAGAAGCCAACAAATGCCGCCTCCAAGCCAATCTCTGATTACTTTGAGAGGACATTTGAGCTTGAAAAAATCTTTCTTCTGCTACAGCATGGGGCTCTCAGTGGCTGATTAACTTTAACTCAGAAAAAACTTTATTTTTTTTTAGCCAATCATTATCACAATAATCTAGAACTTCCTATAATTATGAAAGGTAATGAGTCAACTAACCTTTCTAGGATATATTCTTACTTCCGAACTTCTTTGGAAACCATATATTAAATCAATTAGAAAACTAGCATCTGCTATGGTTGTATCTCTCTATTGTGCTCCCCACTTTCTCACTCCGAATTCTATTCTTTATCTCTATAAAGCTCAAATCCGGCCTTGTATGGAATACTGTTGCTATATCTGGGGTGGATCTTCTAACAATACCTTTTCTCTTTTAAACAAGGTGCAAAAAAGCATTGTAAACATAGTTGGACCTGCTCTTACAGCCAACCTCCAACCATTATCACGTCGTTGTAATGTTGCTTCTCTTTCTCTTTTCTATAAATACTAAATGGGCATTACTCTAAAGAGCTAGCACCTCTTGTGCCATCTACTAAATTTTATTCTCGTGTTACTTGTCATTCAATTGAGTCTCATCCTTCTACTGTAACTGTTCCTAAATACTTTAAAAAATTTTATTTGTCTAATTTTTTCCTTGAACATCAGTTCTTTGGAACTTGCTCCCTTTATCTTGTTTTTTTGATTCATATAATTTGCAATCTATAAAGTAATCTGTTTATTGTTATCTTGTAATATAAACTTCATCTTTTCTCTTCCAGTAACTTCCAACTTTGATAGTGGTTGTTTGCAGCCTTGTTGGAAGTGAAAATGTTATAAAAAATTCCTACATTAAAACCTTTTAAAAAATAATTAATCTCAACTGTTGTATGAAGTTGAATTCAACAAAAAACTGAAATTTTTATTTTTATCATAATTTTTTTATTATTATTATGATTTATATCTTTTAACATAAATTCTTAAATGAGAGGTAGTAGTTATTAAGCTCCATTGCAAATCTAATTTAACCAAATTAGATTTGCAATTACAGCCAATCCACCTCTAATAATAAAACAGTCTTTAAAAGTAAGTTTTATTTCCTTCTATTTTGAAATGCTTTTTTTTAGAATATAATAACTAACAATATAGTAACATCAGAATTATTAGATAATTTCAAAGCTATAGTTTAAAACACTTTTAAATAAGAAATTATATCTAGGTTGATATTTCGTCAGTGCATGACAGATTGTTAAATGAATTCCATCCCACTCACTGGTTTTTAAGCTTATCACTACTAATTTCAGATTTTTTTTAATGGTTTTTTTTTTTTGTAGTAAGTTTTTTTGTAATTCTTTTTTTTGTGGTTATTTTACTTTTTGGTAGCCCTCTTCCCTACTTTTATATATTTTAACAAAAAAACTTATAGATCTACATATTTTTTATACATTTTAATGAAAAGCTTTCTTTTTGACTCTAAACTAGAATAAACATGGAATAGATAGTTAATCTAAGAATATGTTGGGGAACATTGTTTTATATTAAAGAAAGATGGAATAGATAGTTAATCTAGCTGGTGTAAGTTTTTGTTTAAATGATTTAGTTGATAGTGAAAGATTTGAATACATGATAAGTGCCATGTAAAGTAAAGAAATACTCCTAATTTTTTTTTTGACCATAATTTCTAATTTTCTCATTATAAGTCTTTTTGTGGAAGATGAAAGAACAAATGTAATTTTTCCTTCATTTTGGGTATGTTGACATATAAATATTTTTTACAAAATGTTGATATGATAGGTACAGCTTTTTATTTTTATTTTTTTATCTAAAGTAAATGTAAAAATTAAGAATTACACATACTAACAAGTATTATATTAAAGTATAAATATTAACATACTGTTAAAATGAACTCACCGTTGTAACAGCAATGCCAAACCAATGAGATGTTTTCAGTTTGCGCTTTAAGAAAAATTTCTACAAGCAAAACAATAAAAACATAAATCTAATAAATTTAAATTCTTTTTAATAAAAATCCTACCTAAATCCTAATAAATCATTTAATAATATATATTTCTCAGAAGTAACATTCCTAAGTAAGTATTCCTCAAACAATGAAACCGATTTAAGATTGATTTATTGAAAGGATAATGAGATGGAAGTACACTTATTTAGTTTAATTGTACATAATATACAACTGTGGTGTCTACAATTTAACTATGGCAACTACAGCCCATTGCATTTTTTGATTAATTCAGTGATTACTGACAGTGTGTCTATAGCCATAAGAAATAGTATACACTCACAGAAAATACTCCAGTAAAAACTATGATAGATCCACGAAGCATTTGCCAAACTGATGCATCAACATAAAGCAATCCAATACCTAAATAAAGTCTATTGGGTTTAAATAATTATACAGTGTTTCATTAAAAAATTAGTTTTCAGCTGTTTCCTTGTCTGGTTGACATCTATAAGTTGAAGTCAAATACTTTTCTGATATATATATATATATATATATATATATATATATATATATATATATATATATATATATATATATATATATATATATATATATATATATATATATATATATATATATATATATATATATATATATATGTATATATATATATATACATATATATATATATATATATATATATATATATATATATATATATATATATATATATATATATATATTAATCAACTTAATTGAATTTGTTATTTCAAATGTTTGCTATAGTTATGATTTTAGCATCGAGTACATATTACTGATTAGTTTAAACTATGATTGAATAAAAAAATATTATGCGATACCTGATAGAGTAGTTCCAATAAGATCACAGGCAGTCGGGAGAATAAATATCAAATTTTGAACAATTCTAAAAGCAGATAAAATATGATATGTGACCATTTTAATTAATTTTGGATTAACTTTGAACAAAATTTTAACTACAAATTTTTGCAGTTTTTAGTTTCTCTTCCAGTAAATTCCAACTCTAATTAGTGGTTGCTTGCAGCCTTGTTTGTAGCAAAGATGTTAAAAAAAAAAAGTAATTTTATTTTACAAGATTTTTTGTCAAATATAGGCAATAGAGTAAAATGAAATTTTCAATCAACCTATATGTATTGCTTTATTTGAGATTTAAAAATAATATTAACAATAAAAAAGCCCAATTGGAAGTGGTATTTGCAATGGGAAATTTTTAATGTTTTTTGAATGGTGAAAAAAAAGTTTAATTAGTTTAATTTAAATATTTATCTAATTCGTAAGACTCATCACACAACTTACTATTATCTTATGGGATTCATTTCATGACTTTTTTAGTGATGGCCATTGGGCTGATGTCATTTCTCTGCTGGTAATTATACCTCCTGCATAATTTCCTTAAACCAGGGAGGTATTGAAGCTTTCATTCCTTCTTGCCATTTTCAAGTCAAACCTTATTTTTCTACTCAAACCTTTTCTTCCTTCATCTTCTTATGCAGCTGCTATTTTTTGTAACTTATTTAACTTTATTTTCTATTTATTTATATTTCTAATTGTAACTTATTTAACTTACTTTTCTATTTATTTATATTTCTAATTGTAACTTATTTAACTTTTCTTTTTATTTATTTATATTTCTAATTTGTAACTTATTTTTACTTTCTTTTTGTATTTATTTATATTTCTAATTGTAACTTATTTATAATTATAAATTCTAGTTATTTTTTTCATTATTTTTACAAACACAACTCTCTCTTTTTATTATTTCAAGAAATCAATGTAAAAAGATACTGTCTGACATTAGTTCCATTATTCTCAGTAAATCTTGTAATTAATCTAAAACGTTAGGTTCTAGAGACTTAAGAACATTAACAAATGTAAGTCTAATAATCCATCTCTAATACATGGATCAGATCTTATTACCCAAGAAAAAGGAAGAATTATTTGCAAACAACTTTTTCTCTAATTTAATTCTTAAATCTAATGACCATACTCTTTTTGCCATTCCAGAGAAACAGATAAATCAATTGTTAGACATGCAAATCATGGATATTTCCAATGCTAAAGTTAATTCTCAAATTCTTCTGCTGGTTGTGATCAACAATCCTGTCATTTTTGACAGGATTGTCTCTGGATCACAACCAGCAGAAGCCGTAAAACATAAATCCAAATCTTCCACTAATGAAGGAAAAACCTATAAGAAATAAGGTACAAAGAACATTTCAAAACGTTATTGCGGCTGAACAATCTAAAGCTTTAAAGCATAAAAGCAGTGTCTGTTGGTTGAAAATTACCTTTTAAAGTTATTTGATTTATAAGCATGCAGATGTGAACTTCCTCTTTTAAATTAAGATTAAATTAAGAAAATTAAGGTTTGAAGTTAATAATACATTTTTAAAAAGTAACAATATTAAACAGTATGTTTGTGCAAACAATTTGTGACTAAACTGCCGACACATTTTACAGCTGTAAAGTTTTTTATTTCTTCTCAAATTATGGCATTATATTTTATTATACATATTAACCTTTAGAAATGTTCAATGCAAGGGTTGCTCTAACAAGCACTATGTACGTCTCTGTAAAGAAAGCAAACAGGTTACATTTATTTTTTTTGTGTGTTATTATTTTTTTATGTCTGTTATTTTTTTAAAATACTTTCTACAAGCTGTAAAACGAATATTTTAATTTATGGTTCCAATTCTAGAACAAGAGTATTTAAAGGGTCAAAAAGTTAGGCAAGGGCCCTTTGGAACCTGGCAGATAAGCTAAATTGATAAGAAAGAGACAGTCAATATTGCAAGAAAAAGAAAAAGTAAGGAGAAAATTAATATAACAAGTGACACTACACTCCATTTATATTGTATCAATAAATCTTATGATGTGAGTTAAATAATGATGATTATAAAATCAGAATCATGAATTTTTTTCAGAACCACTGTGTGAAAAAAATTAAACAGATTTATCTAACATTCCTAAAGATGCTATTAGTTTCAAAGTTAGTGATGCTGCAACATCTGCCATAGCAACTGCTACCTTGATAGATTTTTATATTATAACTAAGAATGATAGATCACAAATTATCACTGAAAAAAATACATTTGACACTAAAAAATGTGTTTACCATGATTAGTGAAAAAAAACAGTTCAGAATTTTTTTATTTGAGTCATTGGAGTAGAAAGGAGTAGATAGTAAAAAAGACATTAGCACATATACTAGGATATGATCATTATGCTGAACCTAATAGTAAAGGATGAACATCAATTAACTTTTACTACAGAAAGTGGACCTTTTTCTAAGAAATAATTCACATTGAAATAAAAAATGGAACAGAAATTACAATGGCAACTAAGACACTAAAAATACTCAAAAAATATAACAGCATTAGTAGTTTGGAAGCCATTGTTCTTTCTGCTAATACTGGTGCAGATAATGGCTTAGTTGAGATATTGAAAAGGCTTTTAAACCAATGAATCTATTTATTAGGATGTGTACTTTACCAAAATGAGTTACCACTTTGCTATGTCATAGCTGAAGTAGATAGTAAAAGTAATGATCCAAAGAAACATAAGGGCCCTATTGGTCAAAAAAGTAATTTATAATTTGCATAATTTACCAATAGTTGATTTTGTACCAATTCATTTAGAGATTGAATCCTATGTAAACTCTAATACTTTATCTGATCTTAGTACAGATCAACATAAACTTTACCAATACTGTATTGAAATATTTACTGTATTGGAATATCTGTTTTATATCCCCAAAATATTAAATGAAAAAAAAGTAATTCTTCAAAGGTTCTTAAAAGAACAGAACAATTATAAATTAGTAGAAAATCAGTTTTTTCCATTTAACACTGTGTTTCATCAATAAAGACTCATCTTATCATTTGTTTTTAAAAGATTGCTTATGATTAGGGTTGGCAAAAAAAACCAACCCAAAAAAACCCAAAAAAACCCACCTTAAAAAAAACCAATAAAACCTAAAAAAAAACAAAATATATTTGGTTTTTTTTTAAAAAATGTTGTATTTTACAACTGATTATTCTGATTTTAACACTTATAAATGCTTTATTATCAGCAAGTGCAACTTTTATACTGTAATTACTCTTGTAAACACTGTATTTATATACAAAATGGTATTTAGAATATATTCAAAACCGATCAATCTGTTTTTGTAGCAAGTTGGCTATTTATTATTTTTTCAAAACATACAGCAAGTTACTATAAATGTTATTGAAATATGTATTAAAACATTAAATTAGTTAAATACTTATAAAGGAAATAAAAATCATTCTATTAACTAAATTTCAAGACATTACTAGTTATTTAGTATCTTTATTCTCCTCTTGAATGTCTATATTTCCTAACAAGTGTTTTATATATGTCATTTTATATTGGTATTTGATCTTTTATTTTTTAAAGCTTATGTTGTAAACTGCAAATTTCAGTACAAAGCCACAAGCAAAATACTATATATAAAAATTATTCACAGTTTAGAAATGGAAAGTTGTCAGGCAAAAAAAATGCTACAGTTTGCTAGACTTGTCCTTATTAAGTGCATACAACTTAAAACATAAAAAAAATTGAGTTATGTGCAAGCAAGTTTACAGCATGTTTGCTCATTCAATGAGAGAACATGTTGAAAACTTGCATGCACTTCACAAGGACAAGATTTGTTGGTGAAAATGATACTCATGCTCATCTATCTTTTTACAGGTTTGAATATTTTGCATCAACTACAAGTTTACAACATGTACCACCAACAGGGGTGACTATGAACAGCGGGAAAAAAATGAACATCAGTATCAACACACAATAGAGCTGTATAATGTGTTACTTTGATTCAGTTGCAAAACTAAGCCGGTAAAACATCTTCAAGGAGAAAAAAAGAATCTGGTGGTGAAGACACTGTAATGGTTCTTAACAAATTCATTTTAGATATTCATTTAAGAACAACCAAAGCTTAGGCAAAAATCCATTTGCAAAACAAATAAAATAAAAAATAAAAAATAAAGTGCCAATATGATCTAAAATCAGCTAATCATTATTCTCACACCAGTTTAAAAATACGAATATGATCATGTAAAGTAAGAAAATTAAGATAATTACTGCATAATATTGATCAGGCCGATAACATTTCCAGGAAGCTGGACAGTATAATGTTCTGTTAAAAAAATGTAGTGATTAGGTTAACAGTTTTCTTCTATGATGTAAAAATGTTTAAAAAGTGTTCATAGTCATCCTGATTGACAATAAATTACAAGGTTTGCAAAATCATGTTGCAAACTTGTTGATTACATGTTGTAAGCTTGTGTAAACTAGTTTTTGAAATGATATGTTAAATATGTTAGTATAAAAAACTAGTTTGCAACATTTATATTGTCTTACTAAACTTTGAATAACTCAATTGTCATAATAATTTTTATAGTGATTTTTTTTTAGTCAAAAATATTCTAAACGTTTTTAATTTAGTGCAATTAATTAACATCATTTAGAGTTGATGGAGTCCCCTTTTTCACTATAGGTAAAATGTGCTAATAGACTAGTGGTAAAACATTTGGCTCGCAATCAGAAGGTTGGGGTTCAAATTACCTCTGCTGAAATTACTGTGCTCAATCTATTTCTCTGCACAGCGCCTTTCCCTTGACTGAAGTGGTCATTGGAGCAATAGGGAGGTGAATTTATGAAATTAAAAAAAAATTATTGTACACATACAATTATATAAATTTGGTATAGAGACTGGAATTACCGAAAAACGGTTCCTTCGGTAAATTTCGGTTCCTAATTTGAAAAGAAACTGATAACTTCGGTTCTTTTCGATTCCTTATTTTAGGCAAGAATCGTTATTACGGCAAATTTCGATTCCTTATTTTAAGAAAGAATCGTTATTAC